GACTTACATACAGAATCAACTTAAGAACCCCAAGCGTCCCCAAGTCAGCTGCTGCTGAAACTGATCAGCAGCTGATTCCAGGAAGCCCAGGGCGGAGCAACTCTGCCTCGGGCTTCCTGTAGTCAGCTGGCGGTCAGTTTCAGCAGTGGCTGAATCTGGACGCCAGTTCCGACTTACATACAGATTCAACTTAAGAACAAACCTACAGTCCCTATCTTGTACGTAACCCGGGGACTGCCTGTATGTTGCATTTGACCTTTTAGGAAGGAGCAATCAGTTTCATACATATAAAATGTGTAATGACTGTCGAGGAAGGAGTACTGCAGAAAGGGATTTAGGGGTCATAGTGGACCACAAGCTAAATATGAGTCAGTGTGACACTTAAAAAAAAAGGCAAACATCATTCTATGATGTATTAGCAGGAGCGTTGTAAGCAAGAGAAGTTATTCTTCTGCCTCTTCTCTGTGCCGATTAGGCCTCAACTGGAGTATTTTGTCCAGTGATGGGCACCACATTTCAGAAAAGATCAAGTCCAATCCCCTGCACCTTCTATATCATGGCTGATAGATGTGTATCTAGCCTGCTTTTAAACATCTCCAATGAAGGATTCTACAACCTCCCTAGTCAATTTATTCCAGTGCTTAATCACCCTGACAATTAGAAAGTTTTTCCCTAACATCCAACCTAAACCTCCCTTGCTGCAATTTAAGCCTGTTGCTTCTTGTTCTCTCATTAGATGTTGAGAATAATTTTTCTTTCTCCTCCTTGTAATACCTTTTTAAGTACTTGAATATCCTAGAATGTAATTCATCAGGTCCAGGTGATTTGAAGACATCTAACTTTTCTAAGTCAATTTTAATTTGTTCTTTTTTCCATTTTAATTTCTGAACCTACCTTCTTTTCTCTAGCATTCACTATTGTAGGCACCCAATCACCACTACCCTGCTTGGTGAAAATTAAAGTTGTTAAGCACTTCTGCCGTTTCCACATTTTCCACTGTTTTTCCCTTTTCATTAAGCAATGGGGCCTATCTTGTCCTTGATCTTCTCTCTTGCTTCTAAAATATTTGTAGAATGTTTTCTTGTTACCTTTTGTCACTGACTAGATTTAGCTTGTTTCATACCTTCACCTTTCTAATTTTGCCCCTACCTATGTGTATTTGTTTATATTAATCCTTTGTACTTTGAGACTAGTTTCAACTTTTTACAAGGTTCCTTTTCGATTTTTACACAATCTTTCTATTAAGCAGCCACTATTCTTGTCTGTCTGTCTGTCATGGGATTTTCAATTTGCCACTTCTGTGCATGTGCCAATGCAGCCACCCCCACCAGCTCCTGCAGGCGTGTTCTGCCTCCTGGCTCAGTGCCACGCGGCTCCACTCATAGGGAGGAGCTGCCAGCCTCCCTGCCTCCGCCCCAGCCTGACAGCTGGAGCCATTGCAGGTCAGCCTTGGCTAATGGAGAATGGGGGGCTGGATGCATATCGCTGCAGGTTAGAGCACGCCACAAGCAGACCCCATCCTGCCATAGGCGTGCCCCAGCTCATAATACTCCAGCCCCCCGGGTAGACCCACATGGCTGCCACTGAAGGTTACGAAGAACTAACAAAGAAGAGGTTACAAAGAAACAATTTCATTTTCTAGGCCCTTCACCTCATCTCTGCTGTGGAGATGTCTGCCCTGACTTGCTGCCAGCTTGGATCATCCATTTCCACTATTCCAACAAACAGCTCCCCATTTCCCGTATCTATCAAATGAGCTCCCCATCAACGTCCACAGCTCCTTCAATTTTCCCCTGAAAGCCTATTTGTGCTATAATGTGTACAGCACTCATAGGTGGGCAGATGGTGTTCCGTGTCAGCTCTCAGTGTTCCTTGCCTTCTCTCTCCACCCTTTCTCCTCAATTGTGCTTATCTGTTGTCTCACTTATATTAGGAATGGTAGGTGTGTTCTGTGTTTCTCCAACACCTAGCACTTTGAACACTCTTACACAAATTCCAATCACACTGAACTTTCTAGAAGCCCTTCCAAAAACATTTTGTAAGAAAAGTCTAGCTCAAAACATATGAGAGAGATCAAAATGAATTTTGGTGGGTTTTTTAGTTGAAACACTAGATTTAAGACGAAAAAGATTCTCCCTCTCTCCTCCCCCCCCCACGCCCTTTTTAAAAAGACAATCTTTGTGAAAGTGCATCAAAAAGTCAAAAGAAAAGTTTTAAGCCAGCAATTTAGGAGAAAGATTGGATGGCTAACAGTTAGCAACTAGCTTGAATCATACTTAGCCATCCAATGTCTCTCCTAAATTGCCAGCTTAAAACTTTATTTTTGCCTTTTTCGTGCATTTTCTAATGTTTAGTCTTTTGGTGCGCTTTTAGAAAGATTGCCTTTTTAAAAAGTTATTTTTATGTTTTTTTTTAAGTTATGTTGTTCAAGAGTTCCTGGTTAAGCCAGGGTGGTTTCTTGCATCCTTAATAATGTCCTTCTGGAAAACTGCCAACTGTCTTGGATTGTTTTTCCTCTTAGTTTACTAAGGTCCCATGGGAAGCAAGACTAAGAGAGCTGGTAGATAAAGTCTGCCTTCTTGAAACACACTGTCTTTATTTTGCTGTTCTCTCCACTATCATTCCTTAGGATCATGAGCTCTACCATTACATGATCACTTTCACCCAATTTTCAATTTCTCAACCACTCCCCTCCTATTTGTCAAAAATCAAATATAGAACAGCTCCTTCCCCTTCTCAGAAAAAATTCTCTGATTCATCAACAAGTTCTTGGAATAATATGTGCTCTGCTGTATTATTTTCCCCAACAGATGTCTAAGTAGTTGAAATTACCCATCACCACCACATCCAGTGCTTTGGATGATTGTGAGTTTTAAAAAAAAGCCTCATTCACCTCTCCTTTCTGGTTTGGTCATCTGAAGCAGACCCCTGCCATGACATTAACTTTTTTTCTTACCCCTTTTATCCTTATCCACAAACTTGCAAGAAGTCTATCTCCTATTTCCATTTTAATCTCAATTCAAGAATATATATTTTTAATATAAAAAGCAACACCTTCTATACCAATATTCCAATCATGTCTATTATCCCAGCAAGTTTCTGTGATACCAACTCTGTTTCAACTAGAGAGCAGCTTTAGGACATAGTCATGATTTTTAACAGGTCAGAGAAAATAAGCCAAAGCTAAACACACTGCAACTACCTTTATTTTGTGTGGATCAATAAATTCTGCATAGGCATTGATGTATGTCACGGTCTTCTCTCTCAAAGACACCCTGTAACCCCAATTCAAAGAGCCTATGTAGTTCTGAACTGCTTCTACCATGGTCTCCCAGTTGTGTTTCACTAAAAGAGAAACAGGAGGCATTACAGTTAAAAAGACACTGAAGTATAAAAACAGTAACTTTATGAATGTCAATATTTACAGTTTACCATAGGCTTTTAGTTACTTATTACTCAACTCAACTTATGGAAATACTTATAGGTTCAGCATTTCCTCACTAAATCAGCAAACTCAAGTACAATACAAATCTACTTTTCACATAACAATATATTAAAGTTTTCCCAGGGATACTTCATATCTAGCAGACATAGATATGTCTTGCCTTTCTTAGCACTATTTGCAAAGTTATCTGGGTTTAAGCAAACCATTTGCAAGTAACACAACAAGCTGGCTTATGCGATTTATGGTGGAATGAAGCGTTAAACTGGTTTGCTTATGTGCCTTCATAAAGAGATTTTGGGGGAGAGAGAAGAGAGAAAAGTTGCTCAAACCTCAAACAGAATTCTATTTAGTCACTTATGTACTAAAAGGATTCTACAAAAAATTGTAATCTACATCCTCCCCTACTAGTGTTCAGTATTACTAACCTTGCTCATCATACTCCCAACCAAATTTCCTTGAATCCTGAAGTGCCTGCCCCAGAAGTGCAGCCTGATGCATCAGTTTCTTAGGAATACAACCTACATTTACACAAGTGCCACCAAGTCCTGTGACCGAAAGAAAACAGTTTATTAAATATTTTTACCAGAATTAACCTAAGATGTTCACTTCTGCCTTTTGACGTGCTTTGTGTATTCCACTACCCATTCAGTCATATTTTTCAACCCATATGCAAGCAATAGGTGGAGAATTCCTTTACAACTATATACCTTACCATGGTTGACAAAGTAACAATTGGACAAGGTTGACAAAGTACCAGTTTTTCCTTAAGCACTAGCATTTTAGCACCAACTCCACTATCAAGTAGGCTACATGAGTAAAGCTTTAAGCTTAGGCCCAGCACATTCATTCATAAAAAGTAGTTTGACTAATTCACCACCACTTACTCTGTAACCAGATACAACAGAATGGCACATAAGAAATGCAAGAGACCAATCTGCAGTATTATTAGCCATGCCTATTCCACGGAATCAGACAGAGAGCTAAGGCCATGTCTACACTGCCATTTGTGGTGGTAAGGGGAGTGAAAAAAATCTCCACTTTGAGCAACAAAAGTTTTGGCACTGAAAAGCACCAGTATATTCAGCACTTTATCCCCAGAAACGCAGCTCCTAGGGATAAAGCTCCCATCTCTCATTCAGCATGTTATTTAAAAAAAAAAAAAAAAATCAGTGGAAGAGCTGTCCTCTGGCAATAGCGAGACTACACTGTCCACATCACAGCGCTGAGTTAGCAGTGCAGGCAGTATAAACATATCTTAGATCCTAAAAAAGAAATTAAGGCAAATTGTAAGAAATTCAACATCTGCTTTCTTCAGACCAAGACAATAACTCTTCTGAGTCACTGTATTAGAGTTCTTGGAGGGAAGGAATGAGGGAAGGGGAGGTTTTGGTAGATTTTATCTCTGCTATCTGAAAAAAGGTTCTCCACACAACATACATTTGCTTATGTACAGTAAAGGATGAACATTAACCTGTTCTATAGGACCTAGGATCAAAAATGTGAAAACAGAAAAAAGCAAGGTTACGGGAAAGTGAGTAATTTCTGAGACAACCAGAAAAGCATCAGTTTCTTAGGTGGCTGTATCACCTACATATATTCTCCTTTAGGACTATTAAATACTGAAGATTTCATAGTGCTAAGCACTTCAACTAATATTAGTAGATATACTGTAATCCAGCCATTCTCTCATGTGAGAAGTCAACTCAAACTAACATTTTCATCTAAGGAGCTCAAATGTGCTTTATAAATATCAGCTTTCCTATAAGGGATTAAAATGCTTAAGATTTAACAGGGAAGGTTATGTAGCAAAGAATTTAGTGTGAATGTGAAATCCAAAAGCTGTTAATAAGAAACCAAAGTAAATAATGATATGCAAGGCTAATAGAAAAATCCATCTAGAAGAAAAGGCAGGCTGAGTAAGGTTTATTTTCTCCATTATTTATGTTTTAGAATCACAGCCTCACGTTCATACAGGTAACACACTATAGGAATGCAAAACCTTGAAGCTAAAAATTCAGGTAATGCTTGACAACAGTATTTAAATCTATTCATACATCTTGTGATTTGAATCGGGAACCTTACCCCATGAAGTACCCGAAGGTGTTGGTACAACGTAATCTAGCACCAGGACTTTTTTTCCTAAGGCAGCAGCTTCCTGTATTAAAAAAAATAAGTCAAATATGAACTGCTGAACTTCTCCATTCCTTTTTGATGCTAAAAGCGTGTCACCAGAAATGCCTTCTGTCCGACAAGTCTCTGTACCACTTACCCTTCTTCCTTTCTTATTAAACAATAATACCATCAGTGCCTGTGATAACTGTCGGAATATTGTTAATACTTTTATGATGTTCATGCACAGCTGAACTTTCCTGTGCTTTGTTTTACTGTGCAATGAACACATGATTCTGTTAGGCTTTGTCTACATTATGCAGCTTTTAGCAAAAAAGCTGAGAATAACGTAGTTGGAATCGATATACCTTAGGTCAAGTTACTGCAGGGTCTATACCATAGAAGCCCAGGGAGCCACAATGATATTCACAATACATGTTGAGTGCCGCAACTTAAGTGTGGTTGCATATACATGCAAATATATATGCAAATATATGCAAATAGCCTCTTTCACACTGATGGGCATGAATACAAAGATTAAGGCAAGACTACAAAACACACAGGCCCCATTTAAGTCAGTTCTGATGACATTTATAAAATGCAATATTTACCTGACTATCACCCATATGACAGCACTTTTAATGAGCAATGACAGTCCAAGGAATTTAACTACTAAAACACCTATCAACAGAAGACCATTATATTGACTACTTTTTGTTTTGGCTCCCACTCACAGGCCACTGTTGAGCCCTGCATAAGCCCAAACTACACCACAGGCCGCATATTGAGAAGCCCTGCCATAGGGAGACAGAGTTGTCAATGGGAGAAATTTTCCCATCAACTTACTTTACTCTTCTTGTTGGTGGTAGAATACAGGGGTTGACTGGAGAGTGATCAGTGGTCTATTTGGCAGGTCTTCATTAGTTCTGCTAAATCAATCACCGGTGCATTGATCTAAGAGCTTGATCCCCCGCTGTAGTGTATACTAGCGACGTGAATGGATACCCATGTTTACCTGGTAACTAGTTAACCGGTGCCTGGGAACAACTTCCCCACCCATGGTATGCTGCAGGTAGAGGGCAGCTCCAGCCTGGCCAGTCCACCACATAATGTTTAGCTGATTAAATGGGATTTTACATCCTTAGTACAGACCTGCTGTAACAGTATACAGCTTAGGTCGTCATAAGCTAGCTCATGCATGGGTATGAATAAACCACACCCCTGAGCACAGGTGAAGTGAGACAGTACGGTATACTGGTAAGAACCAGCTGCTGGTATCAGTCCACAAATGGCTGATGTTAAAGCGCAGCCTACCAGCAAGGCTGCTGATGGCAGGGCCAATGCAAAAGGGGCAGCTGCCCTGGGGGCAAATAGAATGAAAATGCCGAGGATTCCTGGCTGCCACATCAGCAGTGGTGGCTGGGGGGAGTCTTATCCCCAGCCCTGGCTCTTGCACCCGAGTCCCTGTCTCTTTTGCGTGCAAGCGGCTGCTCCGGCGCCATAGGACTGGCAACAAACAGGGGTGCTCCAGCGTGGCCAAAGCAGTACCTGCTCTGTTGGGGGGGTAAGAGGAGGCACTCCAACCCAGCCACAGAAGGCGGGGAGGATGATGGGGGCCAGGATGAAGCACCACCTCCATTCCCCCTTTAATCAGTTAACTGGTAAAACAATACATTTAACCAGTTAACTAATTAAATGGGATTTTACATCCCTAATCTTCACTAGATGCAGCACAGCACCATGGTTGCATTGGTACAGATGCACCACTGTATGTGTGGATATGCTCCAAGAACAAAAAAAGAACAGACAGCCAAGATAAGCTCAAAGGAACAGGGCTTGGCAGAGCCTTAGCTCCCACCAACAGGAAACATACCCTAAATCTGCTTCTCACGCTAACCTAAAGAATTAGATTCTGGTAATTAAAACTGTTAACTTGTTTTAAGATAGTTTCTTGCTATTGCTGCAGATGTGTTATGCTCTGAAAGGGCAGGAACAAGTCTCCCATACGAGTATGGCTTGGCTGGACTTTTACTGCAGGGAGCCTCCCAGTTTCAGATACATGGAGGCTCTAGGCTTTTCCTTGTGCAACTATGTGGATCCTTTGGGTCTGGCACCTTTCTACAAAACTGATTACAGGTTGGAAAACAGACCAGATGCCGAGAACCTATGACTAGGGATGATAAATATTGGTTAATTGCACAGTTGAGTAACCTCATGAATTCTTATCGGTTATTCAACTATTCTATAGTCCCCAGGGGCAGGGCCAGCAGCCAGTGTACTCCAGCCTCACTCCCAAGGAACTCCCTGCCACTCTGTACTGCTGTATCATAGGAGCAGTGCAAGATGCCAGACAAGAGCTAGTCCACTAGGGAAACCTGTTTAAAAACTAGCTCCCCTTGTGGACTGGATGCCTGTAGTCTATAGTATTAACATATAAGCTTTTACTTATCAGTTAATCGACACTATTACATCCTTATCTATGACATCATCTAACTCAATCAGAAGCCACAGAAGACATCCAAAGGTATGCATAACCTATACACACCTGGAGAAGAAACATCTAGAAGCATTCCAATACAACTGCCTGCACTGTCAACAATAATTATCTGAAGGAAACGTATGCATATGCCTGTCATTAACCTTTCCTCCAGCCAAGAGAGGTATCAATACTTTGAACTTTCAACCCTTCTGAACAAGCTACCAGAAGCAAAGTACTGTTTGAGTTCCTTGTTCTTGTTGGTCCAGGAGCAACTCAAAATAAAAGACTGAAGCAAAGTGACTATACTATGGGGAAGAATCTGCCCCCTAGTTCTGAATTATGAATTACAATTACATCAACATTCAGCCCATTTAATTTCTAACTGGGTGGGAAGATTCACTGAAAAGTAGAATATATTGCGTTTGAACATCAGATGCACAAAGCAAGAGAGTTTCAGGAGAAATCTTACATGCACAATTTAATTTTGCCTGAATACTAGTGCAAACCCCAGTGCATACCTTGGAACATGCAAGTCCGCCAGAGCCACCGCCAACAACAATAAGATCGTAGTCATAAACTTCTGCACCATCTGCTTGATTCCCCAGCACATTCTGCAGTGAGCCACTCTGGTAAGCCTGTAACAAACAGATTATTCATAGAGCGATAGGTAGAAGTCTGAATGACACAGCTTTTTCTATAATCTACACCATCCTGTGTGATGCTTCTACCCTAATTTTGGATTCCTTTTTAAAAAGGATCATTAGCAGGGCTCGACAGTTAGTGTAATCTACTCGCCTGTGGAAAGTAGATTACAAACTGGCACAACCGCGCAGCGCGGTCTGCGCATGCACAGCGTGCCGAACCGCGCGGCTGGCGAGCAGGGTTCGCCACCGCTTGGCGAGCCCTGATCATTAGCATACAGTTTTTCAAGTCTGGAAGTTAGAAAGGGAGTCTTCACATAATATGTAAAGATCACAGTTACACAACCTTTCATAAGACTATGTTCTCTTTTTATTTTTAAAGTCAAGTCACACAGCAAAAACTACCTACCAAAGAAGCAAGTCAAGAGATCACTGATGATGCAGTGATCGTTCCAATTATAATTCTTTCCAATGTATAAAACATCAAGGCAGGAATTAAAGTCTGCAGAAGGATGGAGCAACTTTATCTCCTTTGAACTTGAAAGTTTAAATATTGAATTTTATATTTAGTTTCTTCTTGACATTATGGAAAGTTAGATGCTTAGGACAGGAATAAGTTTGCAAATTAGTTCACTATATGTTGCAACCAATGGTTCTATCAAGCAACTAGACTATTTAAAAAACGAGATAATCTACCCACTTAGTTCACTTCTAGTCACAGCTCATTTCAAATTCAAGAAAAGCAAGATTACCTGAAAAGTTGTGTCATATCCACCCACGTGCGTTCCATTCACAAATACATTGGGCACGGTCCTCTGGCCAGTTATATCTGCTAACACTTGCTGAATATTGGATCCGTCATCTCAGGAAAAAAAAATTACAATTAGAGGGGTTGAAATAATCCTCACTGAAAGTGAGCTTAAGGGTGTAGATTTTTTAAATAACTATTTACAACTGAACTTTTTTTAAACCAACTGCCCAACACCATAAACCCTCCTGAAAAATCAACTTGTTTCAGACATGGCAAGTTTGTAGACGTTGTTCAAACCATGAGCTATGAAACTAAAAAATAGACTTTTCAAAGTTTGTATCTCCCACAAAAGTATGCATGTAGACAGAAAGAACGAACTGGAGCATCACAAACTTAAATGCAAGAAGGTTTGTTGCATGAGGACTACCTTTTTGAGAGAGGTTATTTCCTTGTCTATGTATGTTGCCAATATCAGTGAAGTCATGTGAGCTAAAAATCAATGTGAACTGTTGGAAGGGGTGTTCTTCACTAGGATCCACCCAGACTTTGGAACTTGCTCACCTCTTTGCCAGAAACAGCTAGAATTCATGGACATTCTGATACATTGATTTATTTGCTAGCGTCTTTTGAAAAATGGAGAGGTTACTACAAAATGTAGCTTTTTAGGAAAAGCAGAGTATTTTTCTCTCTCAGCTTCAATTAGTGCTGGTTCTGACTATGGTTATCCTTTAAAACAACTGTCAACATGGAGCACACTCAGGACAGGCACCTTCTTGGTGGTTTTAAGCAGTCTAAATATAGTTCAGCCAGTATAGGAGATGTGTGGGATTAATTATAGAAATACTCAAATTTTTTTTAGGTTTATTAATCTCAATAATCCCAGGATTTGCAAATTAAGCAAAGCCTTAATTATTAAAGAGCCTTAACACACAGTCACCATTCCAAAATGTAAAATGGGCTCAGCAAATCCATTTGTATGCTACAGTTCCCTTTGTCAAATTGGGATACGTTTACTGTGCAGGAGTTTCTAGCATGGAGCGAACCAAACAAAGGAAATGTCAGTGAAAGTCAGCCAGTACATTCTTTCAAACTATTCAACATAGGATTATTTTTGGAACTTTATGAAGACTTAAACTGGTGAACAATATAAGTACTGAAAGTTTCTAAATATATTCAGGATTATTCAGCAATCCTGACAACTAATTAATGTCCAGTAAACTCTTTAAAAGTCTTCTCAAGAATTAAAATACTTTTTTTTAAACAAAAGATTGTATTGTAACCTCAGAACGCCTGGCTTTAATAAAAGCTGTCCATGGTTACAGCCTGAGCGCTGAAATGTAGTCATTCTTTCCCCAATGACTCAGCGAATTTGTTCACAAAGGTCATTTCTATATAAAGTCAAACATTAACATTTCATCTTGGAACATAAAATAAATTACAGGAAAGGCTGAATTTTCCTGCAAGACAGAACAGTGGGTAATTTCCATTTGATTAAACAAATCAGGTTTGTATTTCAAGTGCTGTTGTAACTTTGTACCAACAGAGGCATCACTCAAAATAGAATTAGTGTCTCTGATCAGTACAAAGCAGTTTATAGGAAAAAACGTGGCTTAACTTGGACTATTGTGAATCGTTATTGCATTTCAAAAGATGTTGTCATTTTACTTACCAGTTAAATCAAGTTCCAAAGCATAGTAATCTATTCCCATAGAATGAAAAAGTTCTTTCACCTGTAACAAACCAGAGTACTACCATTAGAGATTTACTGTAAACACAAGGACACAGCATTTTTACAAGTCAAAGGTTTGATATTTAGATGCAGTTTAGGGCCAAGATCTGAGACTTAACATGATTATATAGATATAAGTATTTAAAGATACTGAGTTATGCAGCTATCAAGTTATTACTTCCAAGTTAATTTTCAGAAGCAGTCACTTTGCTGTCTTGTGATTCACCACAGGTGTAACATTCACACTATAAATGAGGACGTGATTATCGCAAGTAGATATGTCTGTCCTAGCTTTACTCTAGCTATTGTGGTTAACAATAGCAGCAAAGCCATGGCAACCCACACCTGACCACATGCCAGCAAGCCAAGTACACGTTCGGGGTTCCTAGAAAACTTGTCCTGAGGTTATTAGCCTACACTGAAGTTGTAGCTGCACTAGCGAGAGTAAAGAAATACCTGTGTTACAATAACATCTTCATTTTCAGTGCAGAACTACATTTAGACTAGAGCTTTGTCAACAAGGATTGCTGTGGTCAAGTGTTTTGTGATCTCTGTTGCCCTGTAAGTATTCGTTCCTCTCCTTTCAAAGATCCTGGAAGTATCTGACAGCTGAGTGAGCTGCTCCATTTGGGGAACAAAGGCTAGGTCTAGACTACAAAGATAAATCGGAAAAAGAAACACAATATGTGGTACACAAATTGAATATCTTTATCCAATATACTTCCAAAAGAGGCTTTTTCGAAATTTGGCCCATCTACACAGGGCTAAATTTCAGAAAAAAAAAATCTCTTTTGGAGCATCCCTTCTTCCTAGTAAAACGAGGTTTACAAGGATGCCAACAAAACGGATCCGCTTTTCCAACATTATTTTCAGAAAAGCAGACGTGTTCCCTGGATGCAGCAGAGACATTCCCAAAGAGCAAATCACTGGAATGCTCCTTTTCTGCTCTGCTAAGAATATAGTGGCAGGCAGACGGCTGTGCAACTTTGACATCCTTCAGCACGGACAGCTAACAGCTACGAGGGAATCAGCTCTGTCTCCTCACAACTTTGCACTGTGGGATGCTTACCCACACTGCTTTTCTCTATCTGTTGACAAGGTGCTAACAGTGTGGCCATGAAACAGGAGGCAGAAAAACTGGTTTGACCATTTTTTACTTTTGCATATTAACAGCACTTTCATTGCCAAACCTTCTCAGTATAGAGATAGCCTAGGTAATCTCGCCACCTCAACAGGACTCAGACTTTGATATCCAACATGATATCTCCCAGGCTTCTCCTGAAGGAGATCAGAGAACTTTATCTACAGAAAGCTTAATAGCAGATATTCTGCTTACTTCTGACAATATAAGAGGGTAAAAGAGCAAAAACATCAAAGTGGTAGATGTAGAGGATAGAAAACCCAAGGGTTGTTTATTTAGTAAATACACACATATGGCCTAAGAATCTCTGGGGATGGATTACAGTTTTACGAAGAAGCTATTAAGTAGCACAATTAGGTTAAAATCTAAAGGTGCACTTAGGGATATAAGGGAGTAGTCAACTATCGAATAAGCCTATGCTTATTGGGTAGTCGAGTCAACTACTCATACTCCCCTCCTCTTTGCTGCTTCTGTACCATAGGCAGAAAAGGGGTGGTGATGGGGAGGGAGAGAGCTGGTTTAGAAACCGGTTCCCCGCAGCACCATCTCTGTGGTGCTGCTCATCCTCCCGCTTCTGCTACCTCTATTAGGAGGCAGCGGGAAAGGGAAGGGCAGGAGCTGCTGCTGTGAAGCAGCCCTTGTCCGCAGGGAGCCGGGATCCTCCGCAGACAAGACTTGCTTCACGGCAGCAGCCCCTGTGCACAGGGGATCTGGGACCAACTCCCCGCTGAGACCTGGGTGCACAGAGCCAGCTGGGCAGGCAGCCCAAGACAGTCCCAGCTCACTCCAGGTGCAGGACCAAACCCCACTTCCCCCACTGCCTTTTAAATTGCAGAGCTGCAGCAGGGTTTGGTCCCACACCCAGTGCGACCCAGGACTGAGCCAGGCTGCCTATGTACTACTTGCTTAGCTAAATACCTACCTCTTAACATCCCTGGTTGCAGTTTCATCATTTAACTGTACAGCAAATTACTAGATCAATGGCTGAAACCCATGCCAGGATTAGGAATGTGTTTACCATCTGTCTCAATCCTCAGACTTTGAAGTGACCCTCAGAATAAGGGACTTTAAAAAAAAAAAAAAAAAAAAAAAAAAAAAAAGCCTGTTCAGTAAAGAAAATTAAAGCAAATAGCCTGGAACTTCTTATAATGAAAATGAGCAGTGACTGAGTACTAAAACCATACCTTATGGAGAAAACGCTAGCTTTCATGTGAGACGTGATCATGTCAAGCACAAAGATGTGCAGCTCGCAACCAGGAAGACTTGCTGAGCGCTTAATAGAGACTATGCAATAACAAAGCAGGACAACTTTAAAAACAAAAACGAGGCCAGCTATGGGATGTCTTGCACAATGCTGAACATCTGAGAGGTATATAATATACCCTACTCGTCCTCCCATCTGGCTACCCAAGGAATAATTGCAGACTCTTGGTCTAAACGGACACCAAAAATTAATACTTTATCAATAAAAAAAAAAATCAATGAAATGTCTACATTGGCTGCAATTTTTAACAAAAAAAATCCAACTGTCAAAATTAGTGCCAAGTTTTAAAAGTAAGAATATTAGTCAGTAGTGTGTCAAAGAGCTCAAGTGCAAGTAAAGTCAATTCAATCCTGTCACCAGTTTTACAGGTGGAAGTTTTAAGACTAGCACGGACCATCTGATACCACTATGTAGCTACTTGAGCCCCTGCAGACACCAAAGCTCAGTGTCACCCCCAGTGCTTAGTAAGAATGAAGTCTGTAAATCTTTAAAAATTAGTGGAGATACCCTTTCTAGATCAAGGGTAGGCAAAGACTTCTCAGCAGGCTGGATGTGGCCTGCCTTGGGCTTTGATTTGGCCTGCAAGGCAATTACAGACCCTGGGTGGGGAGGGTGGGAGGGAGGGGGCAGGAGAAGGGTAAAGGGGGGGAAGGGAAGGGAAGGGAAGGAACTCAGCCCCACCCCATCACCCCCCATGATGCCACTGGAGGCGTCAGTGCTGGGGCTGAGGCTCCTCAGCAGTAGCGGTGCCTCCAGGGCTGGCTCCAGGCCACATGCCTCTGGGACTGGCTCCAAACTGCATGGTCGCAGTGCCTCGGGGCCAGCCCTGGATCATGTGGCCATAGCAGCGGCGTCTTTGGCTTCCAGGACCACATGGCTGCGGCAACGGGGCCTCCCTCTAGCACCTTGTGACTGCAGCCGTTGCTGCAAGAGAGCACGAAGCCAGGTAAGGTTTCCCCTCATTTCCAGACACCTCCCCCAATCCCTTCACTCATCCCCCCCAAGACCCCGCATCCCCAGCTTGCTGTGACACCCTCCCTTGCTCTTGCACCCTCTCTCCTGGCCACATACGGCATTCTCCCTTGTACCTGCTTCCTCTACCTAGCCAGACACCCTACTCCCAGCCTGCTTCTGCTTCCCTGCTCCCTCCCAAAGCCTGCACCCCACCCCTACCTTATTTGCTGGCAGCCCTGTCTCACTCACTATACCCTTCATTTCTGTCCCTCAGAGCCTAAGAAGGTTCCATAAAATCCACTAACTCCAGAAAAGTAAATCTGATCTATGGGAAGCCCTGAACTTCAGTTTCCCCCTTCCCTTCGTGATGTTGGGGCACCAGAGGAGTGAGGTATCTCAGTTGGGGACACATCAGTGAGTGTTGGGGGGGGAGGGGTTGGAGGAGTTTTTTTTGCTTCTCACTTGTGTGGTCTCCAACTGATTTCTTTGTGGGTCAGTGACCTCAGATCCAAAAAGGGGTCCCATCCCTCCCATAAATAAAGAAAACATTGAAACTTTGTGTTGGACATAATATTTTACTTCATTTAAAATGAAGTTTGATAAACTAACATGAGAAAATTAAAACATTTAATCTATTTCATAATTTAAATTAAACTGTTCTTACTAGATGCAGCTGGTTCAGAAAATAAGGTCACTGTACTCAGCAGGGTAGTTCTCAGCCCTGCCCCTTCTGCCCATGGACACTTCCAATATTTGTGAAGTGGCTCCCCTTCCAAAATTATTGCTCACCCCCTGTTCTAGATGTAATTATGAGTATCAGATTATGCTTTAGACTTGAATGCTAATGTGAAACTCTTTGACTTAAAAAGTTCAAAATAATTTCTCCAAACATGAAATTGCAATTGCATTATTTTAGTTCAATTTTCAACCAAAACTTAACTCCTAGAAAAAAGGGGATACTTTATCCAGTTTTCTTTGATAAGTAGACTTCTAAAGACTTAGTCACATGAAACTGAAATGCAGGGATACTAATATTTTAATCCTATATTGGTGGGATGATTAACAAAGCCTCTTTCAATAGACATTACAAAAAGATTTTTAAATGTAACAAGAAAGTCAGTTCTGGAAATTATACGGCTTAATCACCTAGAAATGCAAGTGCTGTTACTGGGCTTAAAATGAATTCATTACAAGACTGAATCAAATAATTTACTTTTTAAGAAAAGATAAATTCTGATTTCACATGCAGTCTTTAAACCCCACCCCCAACAAGCAGTAATGCAGGCATTTGCTGTGTTTTAAGATATTTAGTAGGGCTGTTAATTAAGTGCACTGCTAAACAACAGAAACCAACTGAAATTAAATTTTGATTTTTTTCTACATTTTCAATTACATTGATTTCAAGTATCACACAATACAAAGTGTACAGTGCTCACTTTATTATTACAAATATTTGCTTTGTAAAAATGAAAAAAGTATTTCTCAATTCACCTCTTACAATTACTGTAGTGCAACTGCTTTATTGTGAAAGTGCAACTTAAAAATGCAGATTTTTGTGTTATATAACTGCACTCAAAAATAGAATATAAAATCTCAGTGCCTACAAGTCCGCTCAGTCCTAATTCTTGTGTGGTCAACCACTCA